GAATTACCAAAATATCGACATAATGCTGGCCAATTCTGAACCCTATGTAGGTTTACGTAAGATTTATTTTCCTGATGTTGAAAGAGAGGTAAAGGAATCGTGGAATTCTTGGAAATGTCCGGATTAGGTGCAATCAGAAATCTTACTAGACTTGGAGGAGTTCCAATCTCACATGCGAGGAAACTAAATGTAATTTGAAAGTCTTTTTTGGAATGGTAAGCGCAAGAATTTGACGTCGGTTATTTATCATTTATCATACTATACATCATATTAAATAAAATTTATACAGTCCACCCATACATTAAAAAAAAAACAAGAAAAAACCATTTATGGGTTTGATAGATAAATTAATACTAAATTAATGATTATTGTGTATTTTTCAATATCGTTAATGCCAAAATTATAATGGTGAATCTTGGTAAGGTGGTAATTACTATATTTCCTTCCTTTATTCTATTTTCCCGCTATTCCTTATATATAAATTTAACATTAAACGGAAATTGATTTAAAAAAATATTAACGCTATAACTAATGCAACTAAAGGATTGGTTGGTTCTAAAGTTTGTAGATTTTTAAGTTTGTAAAATAATATCTAATAGGTTCAATGGCGAGGTTGAATTTTGGAATTTTATAAAATAGCCAAACCAAGGATTTATAAAAGAATATTTTGTATTTACTCAAACTGAACCGTCTTTCGGAGACAAGCGATGATTAATTAGATAAATTTAATTATTAGTTCTTGATATTATTTTATTAACTGATTCTAATATTGTTTGACGAAATGTTATCAAAGTTGTAAAACTATTACATCAAAATTGCATTTTTCCTTACCTGCAGCTTTCCATATTAATAATATTAATATCAACATGTAGTAAAATCAACATCTGGTAAAATCCTTTGCATTTCCTCATATTTTGTAATTTTTCCTTACATTCATTTTTTATAGGACTGGTACACTATCCTCCGAGACAGTATATATCAAAATCTTACCATCACCCCATACGGGCCTCAGTTGGGGATTTGTTACATCGTGGAAATTATCCGACCAAATTTGATACACTAGGAATGTTCAAAGCAGTTTTCTGTTCCTTGTTGTAAAATACTTATTAGTATTATTACAATTAGGTAATGGAAATCAGGATTAAGGTTTCCAGTCGAAACTATCTCTCTTAGTAGCCGAAATTGTCGAAACACTTTGGGTGAAAATTGATTTTTTATAAGCTCAAACTATTTTTTATTAACTGCGAAATTATTTTTAAATTATTCAAATTAAAATAGGTTGATTTTAGGGGTTGGCACGGTCAACCGTTTAACCGTGGTTAACAGGTTAACTGCAATTAAACGGTTAACCGGTTAAGATATTTTTTTTAACCGGTTAACCACCATTTATTAATTTTTTTTTTATATATTACAGTCAAACCTCGTCACAGAGGACCTCGCCGCAACACATTCTTGTTACAACGGATTTAAGCATTGTCCCCTTATTAATATTAATTAAAACGTTTGTCATAATAATAACGGATTCTACTACTAATAATAAATTTGTTCCACGGATTTTTGATGAGGTCTTTCTATGTCTACAGCAGATTCACGTGATCCAAATTACCAAAATTGATAAGGAAAACTGCAATTCTCCCTTTGGAAAATGAAATATCTAATAATGAAATTGAAAATTCAAGAAATATAGTCGAAGAGATTTCAAAATGATGTTAATAATATAATAGTTGTTGAGAGTAACACTATGTCTAAAGTTTCAACGAAAGATGCCGTAATTTCCTTTGAGATAGCTTTTAATTTTCTTCAACAAAGTGATTTAGAATAGATTGTAAAGAATTTAAAGCATTTAAACCATTGAAAAAAGTGAAATTATTGGATAATACAACCAAATATTACATCTTATTTCAACAAATAATTTTAATTTCCGTATGTATTGTTCATTTATTCATTATTTATTTCTGTATCTAGTTTATTAATTTATTGCACTATACCAAACCTCTCTATAACGAACACTAAGTAAATTTCTCTATAACGAATTTCCCTTTTGTCGCCCGTCTCCGATTCAATTTTTTATAATTAATTTCTCCCTATAATGAACAAAAGCAGAAAAATGCATATAATGGATAGAGGGTTCGGTATAGAGAGAGAGCTTTGTATTATTACCAATTTTGCCGCTGCGGATTTCTTGTCATAATAATAATAATAATAACGGATTTTTTTGGCTGGAACCATGAATCCGCTGTGGCGAGGTTTGACTGTAATCATTTAGCATCTATTAAGTGTATAATAATAAAATTCAACAGCGCGTGATTATTTTGTAAGTAAAGAACGATCGAATTTACCAGTTAAAAAAATTCCACGTGACTAAATTAACCGGTTAACCTTTAATAGAATCTACAAACGCAGTAGACAAAACCGCATATCAAAAAATAACCAAAAAATTAATTAAAATAATTAATAATTTGATTTTTTTGATTTATTTAAAAATCTATGGAAAAGAGTTCTCTGAAATAATAACTTCCCTCATTAAAAGTGCCAAATTCACTGTTGAACAAGTAAATTTGATTAAGAACCTAATGTGAAACCAGAAGGTTTTCTTTCAAAAAAAACTCAGAAAATTGTCACAAAACATTAGAAAAAAAGGAAAAAGCGACACTCTAAGATGGGCAAACAAGTTTCATTCAAATAATCGTGTATATATTAATATATTTGCGGAATTTAATTACGAAACTTTTATTTACTATTACTATCACGGTTTTTCCATTTGTATTTTCGGAACTAACTATACTGATGACTCAATTACCGATCATATCCCTTTTTTCAAGTGGAATAATGTATGCCACAATGCTGTTGAATGGCCATATAGAGCACAATATTATAATATATATGCTCCGACAAAAGAAACCAATTGGTGGTGTGAAATTAGCCAAAACTAGAGTTTCGAAAATCAAAAAATTTTGACTTTCTCCTCTTCAAAATAGTTTTGGCAACCAACACTAGTGTAAATACAAAACTTCATCTCTTTCATTAATCCACTTAATCGAGACTTTTAAAAGGTATTTTTTTCTGACAACATTTTTTCCAACTCTTCCCTATGATACAATTTGCGTAAATTGCAAAGTGAAGAAGCATGTAATTTAAAATATTGTAAACAAATGCCATTGTTTTTACTATATACAATTAATTGTTTTTTAAAAATAAATGCCATTTTTTTAATTGTTTTTACTATTTACAATTAATTGTTTTTTAAAATAAATAATAATAAAAATAAATGCTCCTATTTAAATAGGACCATGTTTTCCAATGTTGCCTATTTTCGGTTTTTTTCTACAGAACCCCCTATGATTCTTTTAATAAATTTTTTTCTATTTAGAACTTTACGTATAGTCAGCAGATTATATGACATAAAATCCTTCACTGTTATCAAAATTTTCTTCGAATCCCAGTCCAGCTATGAATGAAAAATTAAATAAAAATTAGTAAGAATAAAATCATAAAATTTAAATAATAGATGATAAATGAACAAACAGATCAATTTCTTACCTCTAGCAACAAGAGCTGCTGATATACATAAATTAACAATTGCAGAATCTTGGTGAGTTTTTAAAAATAAATCCTTTTTTGTTTTGTTTTGATCATTGTTGCCAATCCTCCTTAGTTTTCTTCTGAATTCGGCTAATTTGATATTCTCGTTGTTATATTTACTATCTTTAAGATATCTATACAAAAAATTCTCGATTTGACTTGCAGTTGGTCTTTCAGTGGGATCAGGATGCCAGCATCGTTCCATCAATTCAGCATAAAATTTTGGTGTATCATCGGTGATATCTGGTCTCCTTCCATTCAAAATTTCCATCGTAAGGTCAATATTATGTGATCTGTCATCAAATGGCTCCTTGCCAGAAGTATATACCCACATTATCATCCCAAAGCTATATACATCGGATTCTTTTGTATATGGCCTGCCTAATAATACCTCGGGTGCCATATACGGCATAATACCATAAACTTGATTATTTGGATTATTTTCTTTAGCCGGCTCGCATAATCCTAAATCTGCTATAATGCTTTTTTCGTCTATCAAAATATTGCGGCTATGCAGGTCGTGATGCACAAAATTTTTAGAATGAATTTTATTTAGCCTAATGGAAAATAAAGATTATTTATTAGTTTATCATCTAGAAAAAATTACAATCAAAAAATCAATTTACCCAATCGAAATATTCAAAAGTGATTCTAATTTTTCTTTCCAGGAAAAATACTTGAAATGCTTTGACAAATAACTATGTAAATCATCCCATTCTGCGTATTTAAGTACTATCATATAATTATTTCTTGCGTCTTTCGTAATTCCATAACACTCGTTAACAAAATGGTCAGGGGTGTTATTTTCCTTGTAAATTCTTTTATGTGCTTCTAGCTAATGATTTTTAATGGTTCGATAATTTAATAATTAGCAATTGATTAAATTAATCAGTAAATATTCTAAAATCAAGAAATTTTATTTACCTCTTTTAATATTATTGGAATAGCATTTCGTGAGTCGTATGCGCTTTTCAGTACAACTCTTACAAATTTTTTAGGACCATGGTTACTAAACCAATCGGCAGTGTGTATGATTCCGGATCCTCCTTCAGCCAACAATTCAACATTATAAAATTCTTCATGTGAAATCCATTTAATCTTGTTCCCATTCATTCTACAATTATTAAGAAAATTTGCCAATCTTATATTTTCGCATTGCTCCTTTAATTTTTCAATTTCACTGAATTCCCTCGTTGCTTTGTTAATACACATGTATTGCTTTATTGGATTTTCATTGTTGCAGTTGTCTTCGCTCACGCGGCTTTTTGATTTATTATATAACATTTTTTTAAAGTCAAGTTTTGATAAATAAATTATATATTTTTGACAAAATGAAATAAAAAAAATTACAATTGGGAAAAGAGAACCCTTTTATACAATGTAATTTACACAAAAAATCCGCTTTTATTTTATCATTTTAACATTTGGGCAAAAATATTCTTTATGTATATTTAATAATTGATTTGTTAATGTTGTGGTTGTTTAGTCTGCAGTTAAATGATGAATTATTGTTATACAACCATCAAAAAAATCAATAATTCTATTGTATTCACATAAAAAAATCATGTATTGAGAACATGAACATTATTATGAAATTCATATAATGGTTATATTGATGACCGATAAATAATTTTCATTCTAGTATAAGTGTACAGATAAAAACTTCCGCTTTTATTGATTCCATATTAATATTAATATTAATTATTGCAAAAATTAAGAGAAAGTTCTGATATAACAAAAGTGATTTGGAGTGACAAAAGAAAAAAATACATAAAAAAAAATACAATGCTTGTAGCAGGATAATAAAGAAAACAATAATAATAGTAATAGTAATTTATTTACAAAGAAAAAAGAAACAGACTTGGTGAAAATATAAAAACAATCGATTTTTAAAAAGTACACATTATTTAAAAATTTTATCCAGGTCCTTTAACCGGCTAAGATTCTTCTACCGGCTTATATATATCACTAGGCATTACCACTAGTAAATTATAATAACAATAACATTTTTGATTAAACAATAAAAACAATTGATTTTTGGTGATTCATATAAACATATATCATTTATCCAAAATAAAAAAAATATACAAGTTCTTGGCTGGCTAAGGTTTTTTTAACGGCTGATATCACTAATATAACAATGATGAATGATGATAATTGCATTGTTGAAAATGATGTCTCTTCTTCACGAGCATAGTGCAATGTGTAACCTTTCACAGTTATAGATGGAAAAGCAAAATGTTATTATTGCACTAGGTAAATATTTTTTTGACTCAATTTGCCATAATTTTGAGTAATTATGAATAATGATTACGCAGCAGTCCTATTAATTTAGTAAATCATCCATCATCTTAAAAAATAACTATAGATTTGAATGAAATCATAAATCATATTCAAATTCAAATGAAAATCAAATTAGGCGATTTGAGCCTTTACATTTATACATATGAAATGATTATCACATTGCATCATCATCTACTCATAAAGAGAGATAATGATTATTTAATATTTTGTTGCATATTAAAATTTGTATTAATATTGGTATTTATTTGTAATTATGATTAATTAATATCATAAAAGGGTTGTAAATTCTTTGAATAAAATGAAAATTGACACTTGACATTGATTTCTTTAATAATTAATGATTAATGGCAGAGACCTCTCATGTAAATGATTTTTCGTTATAGAAAACCACAAAAATTTAATGATCTGTAGTAAATTTATTTATTTTTGTTGAGGACAACAATGACAATAACACCAAGTATATGAAGGTTTGTCTGTAACGTATTTCCATTTAAATTTGTTATATAAATTATCATTATTTTTTTTTACTATTTTGCACATTATAAACCAATGAAGCAATCGCAATCAACCTCTTTTGTTTAAAAGTTTTATTATTTGGT